TGTCGATGATATGTTAATTTTTTGGAATGATGAAGATGAACTACGCAAAGTTAAGAGGGATCTTATGTCAAAGTTTGACATGAAGGACTCGGGCAAAGCGGAACTGATCCTGGGAATGCAGATTACTCAAAGTGATTTAGGGATCAAAGTGGACCAATCAAAGTATATCAACAAGGTGTTGAAGAACTTTGGAATGGAAGACTGCCAGCCAGCTGCTACACCTGCGGTTACAGGTTTAAATCTAAGCAAGCCTGGACCGGAACATAGAAATGATCCTGACGTGCCCTATCGGAATGTGATAGGCTCATTAATGTATTTGGCTGTATGTACAAGACCAGATATAGCATACGCTGTAAATTATTTAAGCCAGTTTAATAGTCATTATGCTGAAGAATACTGGATGGCTGCAAAACGTGTGCTACGATATCTTCAAGGAACCAAAAACGATGGACTTATGTATAAGAAAAGTGTATCAGATGAAATACATTGTTATGCGGATGCAAGTCATGCTTCCTGCTATGATAAGAAGTCATATTCAGGAGCAGTATTTATGCATATGGGAGCTGCTGTCAGCTGGGAAAGAAAAAAGCAGAAGACCGTTGCATTATCAACAGCTGAAGCGGAATACATTGCAATGTCTGAAGCCGCTAGAGAGGCAATTTTTACAAAAAGATTTGTGGCTGAAATAATTGGTAAGGAGGAGATGCCAATTAAGATATTCAGTGACAGTCAATCAGCCATTGCAATCGCGCACAATCCTGTGCATCATCAGCGTACAAAACACATTGCAGTACGTCATCACTTTATAAGGGAACCAGTTGAGCATGGGCATATTGAGTTAGAATATGTACAAACTGAACGCATGGTTGCTGACTCTTTGACTAAACCTTTGTTGAAAGGTAAGTTTGAGTGGTGTATGTCAAGTATGGGTGTTGTATGAATGTTGTATGGGTATGATATGAGTGTTGTATGAATAGGTATGGAATAAAAGAGATAAAATTGAGGAGGAGTGTTAGAGCAAGGAGTTTTTACTCATGTATAAAATACTTTTTTAGAACAATTTTACTCTTCTGATTTATTTGACACAATGTTTATTTTTGTGATAAGCTGTCCATGCCTATTGTTATTTTTACTTCACTTCTATTTTGATGTTCTTGCAAACTATAAATAAAATTCATAAAATCTTTTATTTACGTGTTTGCATATGCATAGTATCCACTTTAAATATATTTGAAACATTGGTGGCCCATAATTGAGGTTCACCAATAAAAGCAAGCAATTAACTTTTTCCTGTCAGAGTTTTTTTCGCCAGTTCTTCTCAGACAAGACTCCCAAAGTTGGAACTGGTGGTAGATTACGGTAGCCAGGGGTAAATAAATAAGTATTTTTAAAATAGTTTAATTTATTAAATGTAAACATTGCCATAATATATAAAAAAAATGTATTGTGAATACTTTTAATTAAAAAGACAATCAACAACAAACTCAATAATACCGTTTAAAAGTTATTTCATTTAATAATATTGCGCGGGAAAATATAAGAAATCAATAATTGAGATTCTAATGAGATGTAATTATAAAGGGTATGTTCCGATATACACGTTCCGTTATGGACTGCCAATACACTGCTACAGTACCCTAGGGAAATTTATGACGTCATAAATTGCCGCCATATTTGTACTGTGAGCACTGGAGATTTCGAGGTAAGGTGCTCGCAGTGCTTTTGATCACGTGATCAGTCGAAACAGAATCAGAAAATGATAAGTTTCTAAATAAACAAAAAAAAAACTTACGTTTATTATAAGATGGATAAATATTTTTTTATACACAATTTTATAATATTTTCTTTTGAAAAGAGGGAATCTTTATATTTATATTCACTTTGCATTAACAAATTTGAAAATGGCGCCAAAAATAGGATTAACAGTATACTGGGCTGCGTTCCGTTTTAAAAAGTCACCAGTATAACTAGCTATAAAGGAACGGGCTTCCAGTATACTAAATTGACGTCATACTGTTCAGTGGTCGCAGTGTATATCGGAACATACCCTAAGTCAACATTAATATAATTGGTGTGATATTCTCGTCAGCCGCATGCAATACATCTAACGAGTAAACGTATTTCTAATTATTTCGGGACAATAGTAAACTGATAATATGTTTCGACAAATATCGAAGATATGGAATTAGTTCGAGCTATACACAGATTTGATGAAAACTGAAAATCGCCGAATAGATTGGCCAATCAACGTAGCGTTGATGAAAGTAAATGTTTAAAAATTTGTAAACAGACTCCGGAAGATGTTAAAATGACAATTCAAGATGTAACGCCCCTTTTTTAGCTCTTATAATTGAACACTGCACATGAATTTACTTTCTTGATAACGTTTATTGAAAATTAAAAGAAAAATTATAGATTTGCTCGATAATATCTTACCCAACTAGCAAAAATATGTCGTATAGTAGTCGCGGCAACGAAAATTATTCAGCATTTTGGCTCCTAATAGAAGTCGTATAAACGTAATGAAAACGTTTATACAACGCGATTTGGGCCCATTTTATTCAGCAATTCAGTCACATAGACATCGTATAAAGGTAACTTATTCAGGTAAATCGTCACGTAATTATCGCTGGAGTGACTGTTACAAGCTTATGTTGCGCTATAACTGTAACTTATATGACTTTTATATGACATGCTTGTCTTATTGAAGCGACCTGCGATTCAAAACAGCTGAAAACATTTATAGTAAATAAAATAAGCAAGTGCTTCGACGTGTTGTGTTTTAAAAATTATAATTCATCGGTAAGTACAATTTATTTAGCAGACTTGTTAATTTGTAGGTTGCACCAAATGTAGGTTCGTAAACTCACGCATAGGGTTGTAAAATATTGCGAAGGTAAGTTTTCTGAGGAAATATACTAGGTTATATCATAAATATTTAACGCCCCCCTTTAATTCTTAGTAATATGAATATAATAACAAATATTTTTATATCAATATTATTTTTGTACACCATTTTTACTGCTGACAGGCGTTATAATAGCTTCTTATACAGCAAATTAGCAGTATGAACGCCATGATACCACTCTGATTATAGTTTAGGGTTCCTTAGAACTTCCTAAAAAGTTTGTATCCACCACTTTTTTTCAAGTTTATCCATTTATTCCAGTCCATTTTCGATAACTGTAAACCACTCACAGAATTTTACACAAAACAATCTGATCGGTGTAATGGATACAATTATACGACATTTTAGGCTTGTAATAGTCGTATAAATGCGACGTATACTACATAATAGTAGTACAAAAGCAACAATGTTGCTTTTACTCGACTGAGTCAACCTTGCCATAAGAAAGCTATATAACATGCTTTTACTCGACGAAATAGTAACATAATATACTAGCGACTTATTCAGCAAAATATTATATGACACTTAAGTCATATAAGGATGCTGACTAAACGTTTACTCAGCATCATTATGTGACCGAAATGCTGAATAACTCAAAAGCTATATAAGATGCTTTTATACGATACGTGCTGAATAATTCACACTTACTCGACTTTTATACCACCGAAAAGCTGAATAAACTTTACCTTATATGACTAATTTGCTAGTTGGGTTTTGAATGTCAGCGTAGATTAGAAAGGATTACAATTATATTGTATCTGAAACAATATAATGAATCAATGAATGATAATTTTATTTGCACCAATCACAATAACACATGCTATATACACGTTGAAATAATTGAATTAAATAATTGCTGTTTTATTAATTTTTTTTAAGATCTGTCTACAATATTTTATGTTAATATTCACCGCCCTTGAATATCTGGCGGTTTTTTTTTGTGACGTATTGTGAATACTTTATGCTCTGCCCATGCTGTTTAACTGGACACAGGTGGTGTGTGTGACTCTCCATACATACGGAACCGCCTGAAGGCTAGTCAATAAGTGGATGGCATGATCACTAAAACCCTCCGATGCTCCCCGACTTTACGGGGAAGGACGTGGGATCCAGCAGGGACTGCTTCTAGTCCCTTATTTATCGATCCATTATGAAATAGGAATAAATAGCCAAGTTACGTAGTCTAAGAGATTTATCCATCTAGTCCCTTATTTATCAATACATTATGAAATAGGAATAAATAGCCAAGTAACGTAGTCTAAGAGATAACGATAATGTTTGTGGCGCTGCTGGGCTAACATTAATCCGGCAGCGCCACAACTAGAACTCTGTATTTATAACGAATTTAAAAATAACACTAGTTATTTAAGGTTTTGTAAAAGAGGATTACATAATGATATAATCCTTTATTTACCAGTCAATAAATAGTCGGGGAGGGTAAATATTTATTGAGATAATTAAGGGACATGACTTCAGTACAGGAGCACTGCGCGGTATCTTCTAAAGTCTATCGTTTACTCGTTTAGTTCCATAGTTGTGTAAATTACCTATTTGTCTATTACCTATTTGTTTCGTAACGGAATTATTGAGGGTCTAGATAGGACAAGATCATTTCAAAATCCAATGGCGCTGCTAGCCTGACGGACACACGATGAACTGTATCATGTGTCCGTGAATGATCGTAGTGATACGACTCGAATAGAATTTGTGATTCGACTCACTCGAGCCATTTAACTATCTTATTCGAGTCATATTCGAGATTAAAAGAGTTTTGACATATTAACATATTAAGTAATCAATCAAGGTAAAAAAAAAATAAGCGGTGTAAATAAAATAAAACAGAGTGCGAACTGACATCTAGTGACAACAGAATCAACTAGATGCACCGACTTAATTAGATAACTCGATTGTATAGAGACTCATTAATATTTTTTTTCAATCGACTACGAGTTCGACAAGTAAAAATAGGACTTGTCGTACCAATAACATAGTTCAACTTGTGTCCGTTAGGCTAGCAGCGCACAGAGATATGTTTTCATGGATTTCATCTATATCGTTGTTTGTAGGTCACATACGGGAAAAGTATCGTCGTATGCTCGAAACTTACCGAGAATTCAGAGACAAGAAGAGCGGAAGATCTCTATTCGTGCCAGCCTCTATGTGGGAGTTGAGTCCGATACATTATATCATAGCTATGGAACAGGTCCATGCGTTAGAAACGGACATCGACAAATTGATACATAGTTTAGAAAGGATAGACAGTGAAGATTTCAATCCTGATCCAAGGTATATAGAAACTACTACTTTGAGGAGACGTCCAGTGAGACCTCGGGCTATGGAAATGGAGAGAAATATAAAGGGTACGTTTAAAATTAAGGCCCTTGGAAAGAAATGGAATTATAGAAAAATATCGACTTGATAGATTGTCTCCCTTTAATGAAATGAAATGAAAATATCTTTATTCAAGTAGGCTATTACAAGCGCTTTTGAATCGTCCAAAATATTTTTTTCCTTGTGTTAAGATTATGAACAATACTTTTCTTTGTGAAGGAATCGTAATGTTTTCTTGCGTAGATAATATTTTCATAGATGTATTGAGAGGCAACAGTCAAAACATTTATTTCTTTAAATATTTCTCTGAGAGATTCTCTAGACCGTAAATTGTATATAGCGCGGACAGCTCTCTTTTGTACAATAAAAATATCCTGAATGCTAGCCGCAGAACCCCACAACAATAGACCATACGTCATTACACTATGAAAATAACTAAAATATACCAATCTTGCCGTTTCAACATTTGTCAAGAGTCTAATTTTCTTAACAGCAAATGCTGCAGAACTCAGTCTACTTGACAAATTATCAATACTAGGATCCCATTGCAGTTAGAAATTTAGTGTTATACCAAAGAACTTTGTCGATTCCACCAACTCAACTTTTTCACTATTTACATTTATAAGTGTATTAACATGCCTCACTTTAGGTAATGCAAACATTATGCATTTTCTTTTATTTGAATTAAGTTTTAAATTATTACTTTCAAACCACTGTAGAACATTGTCGAGAGCATCATTTATATAGTCACAATCATTACCCCTGTTAACTTTAAACCTTTCGTTCAATCACACACGAAGTCTTTTTTTTTAATCCTTTTGTGGTATATAATTAAGTGAACTGTATTATTAAGAGAATGGCGTGAATAATTCGAGTCAGACAAATCACACAATAAACAACATTTACGACTCTCCAGAACGTTCAGCTCGCACGGCGGTAAAAAGAGACAGCTCAATATTCAATCCATGTGCGTATTTTCTTATTTAAGCACAGCTGGCTCTTAATTGGTCACTTCTGGTGTGTATTTCAGTATTTAATTCGCACGGCGAAGAAAAGGCGGCATCCGGGGCTATTTTGTCACGCTTTTAAAAGTCATCTCAAGACTTTTTATTTTAGTTTTACGGCAGCCAGTAAATTTCTGTATTTATATTCATGTTTTAGAGAACTTTAGGGAAGAAGAAGAAACTCTGAAGCGGAGATATCGTGAAGAACAGCTGTTACGTCGAGTTGGTGCATCTGGTAGACACACTAAGAGGCCCAGGTTCCAGCAGCAGTGGCCAGTTGAAGAGACATGGCGGCTAGGACCTTACGGAGACGGCGCAAAATATTATTAAAATAGCTTTAAGACGTTTTAACGTGTCTTAATAAACAGTTATATAAAAGAGTATAACTTAATAAATAGACTTCTTTAATCTTCATTATCTTTGATCAATATTCTTAAAGCAAAATGTTTAAAAAATACACCAAACTCAGGTTTTACTGCGGTACTGGAGCCGCAATAGGGATGACGACTGGGTAAAAAAAATGCAATTCTATTTAGTCCGTCAGTCAGATAATAGAAAAATATTAGACACGTATTTTTTTTTACTTCAATTTAACAAGAAATAGCTTAGATAACAGGCATTAAAGTTGAGGAGTGGGGGCTCAATACGTCACAGTTGAGTAGAAAACGTACCATAACGTGACGTCATGCGAAATTTCAACTCAATGTAACGCCGTAATTTTATGATTACGAAAAAAAATAAAAATACGTATTTAATATTCTTCAACACTACTTGACGGACAAACAAATAAAAAAAATTGTCGTCATCCCTATTGTTCCGTTAGCAGATCTATCAGGATTAATCTGCCAATTCTGATTGGAGTAGAAGCTGGCGGACCAAAATTTTAATCTTGATTGCCTTTTAAGGCTTACATTATTGTTTATTAATATTTATATTATACAATAATTACGTTTTCGAAAAGAATTTTCTTAAAATTACGACAAATACTTCGAAAAATAATTTTTCAGTTTCGGTCGTACTCCTTTTTCTTGAATTATTATTATTATATAAAAATAAAAATAGTTCACACACTCAACACTATTTTGAGCACAGTTTATTTTTGGTGAGATATTAACACAGCGGTTTATTTTTCGAGAGGAGCGTATTTTCACGTATTTTTGCGTTGACACCATGACATAGAGAGAGATCTTCTTTTTTTTTATATATTGGGCGGGTGGAAATATAAAAGAGGTTTTATTATCTACCGTTTGAGTCATTTGTATAGTTTTTATATTGTATGTTGTGATGCGTGCAATGTAATAGTAATAATATATAATAAACGGCGCAGACAAATATGTCTAGATACGCAATACATACTAAAAATGTAAAGCTACTAAAACTAAGACGTTTGTTCTTAGGTTTTGGTTTTACACTTCAATACTCATTCAACTCCAGCCGAGAAGGTACAAAAAAAATGCTCTACAAAAACGAAGATTAACAATTTAATACAGATGCCTGGATTGCTTGGAATAAAATATCAAAAGCACTTTTATGTAAAATCGCACACCTTCTTTATATATATTAAATTATGGATAATATCATATACATTGCTCCGATTACAGGATGACGTGTAGCTAATGTCCAAACCTAAGTTAATTTTCTACTTTTACCCGGAATCGAACCCGGGACTTCAGAGACGGTGACACCTTGAAATCAGCGTGCAAAAAACTACTGAAGCGCTTTTCCCCATTGAAAAGACTGCAAGTATGAGAAGAAATTCAATAAATTTAACTTTATAGGTAACTCTTTTTTAACGAAGGGTATAAATAAACATTTCCTGGCGAATATTATATTTGAAGTATACATTCAAAATGCTTTATTAATTTAAAGACAATGCTCATAACATTTTCTTTAAAATACGGATTGGAAGTATCAACGGCTGCAAATGCAAACGGTATCGATGGCTAAACGCGCCTTCCGAAGCGCTGAGTATAGCTCGAGATAATCATTTTTTGGTCACCCATCCCGTGACCGACCCTCGCGAAAGTTGCTTAACAATAACAATCGCGGGTCGCTGCGCTTTTTCACTACGCCACCGAGCTACTCAGACTCCAAAGTACATGCAAACAAATATGTGAGTGTATTAAAAAATAAGATTATAATTTTTTGGTCACCCATCCCGAGACAGACCCTCGCAAAAGTTGCTTAACAATAACGATCGCGGGTCGCTGCGCTTATTCACTACGCCACCGAGCTATTCAGACTCCGAAGTACATGCAAACAAAATAAAAGCAAAATGTCATTCTTTGTTACAAACATATATTTTAGCCGCATTAGTAAATATTGTAATCTGTAGTTTAATTACCATAAGGTCGTATCACCTGTAACATTCTGCCGCAAGTATGCCATAGCTAGGGGTCTAATTGTCTAATTTTAATATGTACCGCAATCCCTTTCAGTTTGACATTTTAAAAATATTCACGGACTTTACGCTACAACCATTTGATATGTTTGATTTGAGTTGTGTAAAATATGGGTTATGACGGGTTCGGTGCTTGGATCAATTAATAAGGCTGATTAGCTTGAGTATAGATTTATTAATTATATAAGGGTAAATAAGAAACTGTAACAAACAAAAATAAATTTATAAAAACAGTTCGTAAGTTACTTAACTAATATATACTTATCAAATAAACGAATACATACCCCTTGTCGGGCTTCTAGTTAACTTTTGGATCTTCCAAAATACAGATTACAATTTAGTAGTTACATATGTTATATAATTTGTATCACCATATCACATTATTTATCACAATAAATGAATTATTTTAAAATTACATAGTAAAATTTATACCATTAATATTGTATTGTATTATAATTTCATCTTGTGCATAGGAGAATTTCTTACGAACTGACATCCATAAAGAGTATAATTGATTAGTCAAAATTTTAAATTACGAAAGACGAATAATAAAATGAAATGATGTTGAATTTCAAAAACAAAAAATTTTGCATACTGAAACCTAGGAAAACAAACGGTGGCATGGCACACCGTTACAGGGTTAGAACCTATTGAGTCAAACGAAAGAGCTGAATGCAAACTGGTTAAGCTAATAAGTTTTGTTAATACGAGTATGATGCTTGAAATAAACAAGTGCTTGGATGATTCGTCTGTCCTGTTAGGTCCTGGGTAGCACAGCGGTTAGAGCAGGCACCCGGATTGCGAAAAGTCCTGGGTTCAAGTCCCATCTCAGGCCGGGGACCGAGTGGATTTTTTAAGCATTTTGTACTAAGAATATATTTCAGTATAGCATTGTGAATGCGTAATTGATCAAATATAATATGATTCTTGATAATTAAAATCATTATTTAAAACATAAAATCTAAACCTTTGACAGCTATTACGATAGATTTTGTAATTAGCCCGCTGGGCCGTATCTCGGGCACTTGTGCACTGCTAGTTACAGAGAACTCTAAAATGAAGATATAAGTAAAATAAAGGAGGATTTTCACTAGAATGTCTGTTGAAATTCAGACGGGCACGTTATCAAAATTCCTAAATGAAACAAGAAAATGATGTTTGTTAACCGGAAAATCCGGAATATGAATGACGACTGGGCAAAATAAAAAGGAATTATATTTATTCTAAGTCATTTAGTCGTAAAATATTAGATGCATATTTTTTTTTACTTCAATTTTGCAAGAAATGTCTTAGATAACAGCCATTAAAGAAAATGAGTGGGGGCTCCTTACTACACAGTCTTGTAGAAGATGTACCAAAGCGTGACGTCATGTGACATTTTAACTCAATGTTATTTAATTATTACGAAAAAAAATACGTGTTCAATATTTGCTTCTGGACAAGCTCGTCCCACCGTAGATCTCATCTATGTCTTTAGGCTAAATTGAGGCCAAGAGTGAGCCGAAGTGAAAAAAAAAAAAATCTACAATCTACCTGACGGACAAAAAAATAAAAATTTGTCGTTATTCCTATTGTCCCGGAATTTTACGCGTTTACCAATTTCGTTTTGTTGTCCCGGAATTCAATTTCAATTTCAATTTATTCAATGCAAGTCACAGGTCATACAGATGTTATAAATAAATTTTGTACAAGTGACGCCCTATAAGGGCACAGCAATACTGAGGGGCAACTATTGCCATTTTTACTTATATATATTATTGTTCTAGTGATTATTATTACATTTAATAGTTATTTTACTTACATATCCAATATACTTTAAACTCGATTAATACATTTACAATACATTCATTTATTAATTCATTTAATAATTATTTTATTAATTACTTAATTTATAAACCTTAAACATAGTTGATACATTTATTCATATATACTTTTTTTGTATTATTCTTTTTATTTTTTTATTTATTTATTTTTTATTTGGGCACAGTTTGTTACTTCTCGTTAAGAAACTCTTTAATATTGTAATAACATTTACTTATTAAGTATGTTTTCAGCTCTGTAATAAACTTTTTTGTTTCTTTTATTTTCTTTAAGCTATTCGGAATATGATTATAAATTTTGATGGCCATAAAATGAGGTCCTGTAGTGACTAATTTCAGTTTAGAAAACGGTACTTTAATTTGGTTTTCTGTGCGATTGTTTCTCTTTTTAGCCAATTTTACCGGTGAGTATAAATTTTCATGTTTTCGTATAAACTTACAACATTCCATGATATAGATTGAGGTTAACGTAAGTATGCAATGTAATTTAAAGTGAGGTCTACATGATTCCATCTGATCTATATTAGTTAAAATTCTAATGCACTTTTTTTGCAGAATAAAAACACTCTCGACGTCATTACAATTTCCCCATTAGATAATTCCGTAAGCTAGCCTGGAGTGTGCATAGGCATAATAAGCGGTTAGTGCGGTTTTAAGATCTGTAACTTTTTTCAAGTGTTGTAAAGCATAAACAAATGAAGACAATCTACCTTTCAGCTTTTGTAGGTGGGATTGCCAGTTTAAATGTGTATCTAGATCAATGCCTAAAAGTGAAGCAGATGGTACCGTCTCCAGTTTTACATTATTATACATATAATTAATTTGAAGCGGAAGTTTTTGATAGGGTTTGAATTGTATTAATTTTGTTTTATTTATGTTTAGTTCCAAGTTATGTTGTATGAGCCAGTTGTTGATTTTATTAAGAATAGTATTAAGTTTCTCTGCCAACTCATATGTATTAGAGCATGTAAGAGTAACAGTAATATCATCAGCGAAAAGGATGCTTTGTTCGTTTATTTGATTTGGAAGATCATTTATGTAGATAATAAACAAAAGACATCCAAGGACGCTTCCTTGGGGTATAGAACCCGTTAAATATGCTATATTTGATTCAATATTTTTGATTTCCCCTGTATCAGGGTTGACACTCTCTATCTCCACAAATTGTGTTCGATCTCTTAAGAATGATTTAAACCATTTATGTGTTGTTCCTCTAACTCCCGAATCGTATAATTTATTTAGAAGTATGTCGTATCGAACACGATCGTATGCCTTGCTCATATCAAGCAGTAAACTAATAGCGTACTTTTTATTATTGATCGAATCTAAAATTTTTCTGACACATTTATTTACAATACTAATATTCTTTTTAACGAAGTTGTTGTGCGCAACGCTCGATGTTAGATTTCCATAGGTCGTTTCTTTTCATCGGTTCACTGTATTAGTTTTTTTTTTTATTTTATTTATTGACAATAGGCTCACTATCAACCTCAATCTAGCCTAAAGACATAGATGAGATCTACGGTGGGACGAGCTTGCCTAGAAGGAACCTATTCATTCTTGCCTTAAATAGGTTATATGCACTCGGGAATATAGACGCCGGCAGGGAGTTCCACTCCTTAGCGGTGTGCAGAAAAATATACGAAGAAAAACGTGTATTAAAATGAAAACACCACACTTTTCAACATAAGAAAAAAAATATTTAAATACACACATTTGCAACATTAATTTGTTTATCTAAGGTAATATTTAGCTTTAAAGGCTATTTAGGAACAATTTATTTAATATTTATGTCGCTCGTGGGCTATCCACACGCGTCTCAAATTCAAGAACTTCGAGAAGACCGCCAAAACGGTAAAACTTTTTAAATCCGTCCATTTTTTTAATACCAAAAGGAAATTTGTGTAACAGCCATTGTAGCCATAGTAAGTGTAACTTACAATTACTATGGCCTCAAAGTCTGCCTAAGTCAAGCCAGTTATGTATAATAATTACTAATTTAAATAAAACATGAACTTAAAACCTATTTAGCCATACAGAGATAACATGCAAATACACTGAGTAATTAGGAATTTATTAATTTTATACAAATTTTTGATATTGATTTTCAATCAAAGATTGACATTTTAATCTTAAGCTTCTTAAAAATAGCATGTGTAACTATAAATTAGCTTTTCCGGAATGCCGGAATTACCAGTAATAGTCAATTTCCCATCCGTAATCTTTCGGCCAAAATTTATTGTAGATCTTCTTAATAGGTTTCCTATTATTCGCTTGTTCCTTTATAACTGCCAGCTTACTCATAAAGCTTTCCCTTTTCTTCTTTTCTTTCTTCTTACGTTTCTCGTTTTGTTTCATCACTTCTTTTTGGTCTAGATACGATAATCCTTCAAGAGATAGGACCGGCATATCTGGGTTTACATAATTTTGCTGATCGCCGAATTGGCCAGGTTCCTTCGTTACAACTCCTTTCGCTACTTTCTCTTTTTTGCCTATCAACTTCAATTTACTTTCAGGGACATACTTGTACTTCCTATTTATTTCATGTACCATGTTTACTAAGTGATATATTTCGAAATACAATTTTTGTACTAGTTCAACTCGTTTTAAAGTGTCGAACACGGTGTCCGTGTGGTACATCATGGGTCTCTTGATGTGCATCACCATTTTTCTGTATCTGTAAAGAAGTTTGATAATTTTTAAAAGACTTCAATGAAAGGGGAAGTTCTCATTTCGACTCTATGTTTTTTTGTGTTTGTTACGCGATTTATCCGCCAATGAGAAAGTGTTAAAAAAAACACTAGTTCCCGAAATCAAACTAAATGTCGCTACGGTACATTCTTGACTTCTCCATGAAAACCCTTCCGGTTTTCTTTCATGTTTAAAAGTAAATTAGTTTTCAAAACTCAATAAACAACTCATATTCTATTTGTACTTTTTCGTACAAATAGATATGAACTTTTTGAATCTCAGTTTTTTAATATGTTAGTTAAAAGGAACGGAAATTATTGTCTTTGGTCCATTAGTTTCCTGCAAAAATCAACTTTTGCTAGAGTCGCCATCTAGTGGAGGTGCTTTTTTTTGTGATTTCGTATTTTTTTAATACTTCCTCATTCTGAATAGATTTTCGAAATTCTTTTATTTCTTATATTGGACAGCTTAATAGGCCGAGATGCTCTCATTTAAACTTAATCGAAATCTTATCGGTAGTTTTCTTTTTATAACAAAACAAAATATGCTTCTCATCAGTATCAGCTAAATGTAAAACAAAAACATAGCGTATGTTGCATTCATTTAAAATTCGAAAGGAGGAACATCTATGTTCAAAGGGTATGTATATTTCGTGGTTACGCAACAAATAAAATTTTCAGTAAATATAAATATGTCGGCGTGTAGTCTTAAGGGGCTATTACGAAGCCCAAATAGATGGTCCATATCGGAGGACTATCTTTAAAATAACACTGCAGGCGTGTATACCAACGTGGATTTGTTCCATTTTATTACTTTTCATACGAAAATATAACGAGATGAGCAAGATGTCGTCGGATGTCTTTACTCCTCGGCGATCGGAAACAGAATGTGTGCGAAAATGGCGACAATTTGGTTTTTGTTAACGAACTGTCAAGTCAGTGTCACCATTCTAATCGATGATCACGCTCTCTCTACAATCGAGTAATTAAGTAATCGAGTAACTAGCAATTAAAATAAAAGAAACTAAATAAACGATCTTCGTAAAGATTATGCGACAAATATATCATATCAAACTACAATTCAATGTTTTATGAAAGATTTAACCATTTTTAATATGAGTATTGTTTTTCAGTTTTTTTTTTATAGTTTGAAATCGGTTCTAGTTTTGATGTTTTTTTTTTCTTAATAATAGAAAGTCTGTGGCCTAATTTGTCTAATTTTAAAGTCACAATCCCTTCTGGAACGAACGATGATGTGAATGACATAATGTCACAGACAGTTCATTTCTTTTGACATTTTCCAATAGCTTGAGTAATGATAAGGAAAATGTGCTACATTCATTCAATAATTAATACTCACTTGTATCAGGGTAGACCTAAACCCGCTCTTTTGCAGTGTAGTATGTATATAAGAATCACAAGCATAGTGTGAGTTTGTGCGTGTGTGTGCGCGTGTGTGTTTGTGTGAGTGTGTCAAATAAACTTTATTTTTGAAAATTTAAGGCGATTATGATATTTTTTTAAATTAAACAATCAGGCCAATATTCATGGCCTGAACCCCTACAGTTGGGACGTAAAAAGGCTGATGACGATGTATAATAAACATAATTATTACTGAATTGCGTATTTTTATAATTATTGACCATACCGATCTCGCTCTCACGCACACTTTGACACGTATACAAATACGCGTTATTACAACAAGTAAAGCCCGCTCGCCTTCGTGAGTTTCAAGGACATAATCATGCAGATCCGAATTCGGGTCCGGATTTTTACAGAATCGTCCTGCAGCTCGAGATAACAATTCTTCGGTCACCCATCCCGTGACTGACCTTCGCGAAAGTTGCTTAACAACAAAGTCCGCGGGCTGCGGGCGGCGGTTATCCACTACGCCGCCAAGGTACTCTTTAATAGAAGTTTAGAGACTTGCATTTCACTATTTATAGTAAGTAACTAGCTTTCCGCCAGCGGCTTTTCCCGCGTGGTGCCTAGGGTAATGTTATCTAAGTCAGCTAATACCCAGTATACCAAATTTCATCAAAATCCTTTCAATAGTTTCGGCGTGATTGATAGACAAACATCCAAACAAAGAAACTTTCACATTTATAATAAGATTACAAATTGAGTAATAAACAAAGAGTACTATGGTAACGTTTTAATTCCCTTTACAAACTTCCACTTCCATTTTCATGCTAAAGGCATTTGCAGCAGAATAAAATATAGCCTATTTCTACCGCGTATGATGTAGTTTCCAGTAGGTGTAATAATTTTTAAAATCTTTCCAAATATTATCGGAGCCCATTCATTTTTTTTTTAATTCTAGATAGGCAAACACTTGACCACAGATCACCTGATGGTAAGCAATGCAGTGGTCTAAGATGGAGCGTGCTTGCCTAGAAGGAACCGATTCACTCTTGACTTGAAGAGTCCCAGATTTATATTTGCCAGGAAACAGCGAGTTCGGTAGCGAATTCCACAACTTCGCAGTTCGCACGACGAATCGCTTGGTGCGAGTTTGTGGAATCTCCACAGTAAAGCGGTGACGCTTCCCAGTACCCATTAGTATTCATTATAAAAAACAATCAAATCTTTTTTCTTTATAATATTAATATAGATAAATTCATCATCATCATCAGCTCTTTTACGTCCCCACTGCAGGGGCTCAGGCCTTCCTTATGGACGGTTAAGGATGGGCCATGACCCTCCACGCTGGCCCAAAGCGGATTGGAAGGTATTAACGTCTGCAAATGCAGCCGGGACCAACGGCTTAACGGGCCTTCCGAAGCACGTAGAAGCTCGAGATAATAATTTTTTGGTCACCCATCCCGCGACCAACCCTTGCGAAAGTTGCTTAACAACAACGATCGCGGGCCGCGGCGCTTATCCACTACGCCACCGAGCTACTTTAGATAAATAGATAAATTCAACCTTTCTAAAATTTCCGCTATAAGATATCCATGTTCATATTGCGTCGACTCTTCATACATGAAACGCATTTCCATCAGCTCAGTGTTTCTTTGTTGAGCATCCAGATGATACACTTCCATTAAATGTACCAATCTATTTGGTAATTCCTTTGCACTTATCCTTAATTGGTATTTTCTATTAAACGGCGGTTCCCAACTGAAAAATAAAACGTATGTAAAGAAAAAGTATTTCTTTAATATTTAATATAGCATAAATACTCTTTAGTTTTCTAATACCACATTTTTATAAATGTCAAATTACTCTAATGAGAAATGCTTGAAAAAATCACTTTGTCCCCAGCACTCTGAGATTGGACTCGAACCCATAACCTTTCGCCATTCGGGCGACTGCTCTAACCACTGAGCTATCCTGGGTCCTGGGGCGCGACCGCCTAACTCATGGACGTAGCCGTAGTCGTAGCTATAGCCTACGCTTTATAGGTTTTACACATGAATCTGTTGATATTGTTTTAAATTTAATCTTTTTATTATTTACACATTTAATCAATGCTTTGTTGTTTTTGTTTGCTGAATTATTAAAGTTAAACGAAATTTACAAAATGTCCAATTGATACAAACAACGCTATTTCGAAAAGAAAAACAAACCAAAATGTTTGATTAAATATATCAATTACAAAAACAATTAATTTTAAAAGAATATAAACAGATTCATAAGACATATCTATAAAGCGTAGGTTATAGCTACGACTACGGCTACGTCCATGAGTTAGGCAGGACTGACGAATCTTTCAAGCACTTTCCGCTACTACAGAGTCTTCTCATCAATGTTCAGGCAATCCACCCAAACAGCCTAAAGAAATATTTTTACAAATATTTAAACTTCCGATATCGATTCTGCAAGAGTGCCAGGTACAAGTGGATTTTTTAAGCATTTTTCATTTATAATATTTTCAGCATAGCATTGTACATATGCAATATTGATTACATATTATTAAATAAACTTAATAAAAAACGTGTAGGTTTGAAATAAATATATTATTTAAACATTATGTACACATATATAAAATAATTTCAAGAGAATTTGATAAAAATTCACTTTAAATGTCGTTTCTCTATTTTCGGGTAAGATATTTAAAAATGTAGTAGTTTAACTGGTAAGTAATAGGTTTAGTTTATCTTCCTAACGAATAAATCTATATTTTCAGAACAACACATTGAGTTTATATTATTAATCGCACCCTCCGGGGAATAAAGCGGTAATTGCAATTTTGTAACTTTGCAGGGAAAATAAAAATAATTGGTTACGAGAAAAATGCTTTTGACATTAATTAAATGAAGATTCTTTTTCTTTAACTATTGCAGGGCAATAATATTGATATTTTGGAAATAAAAGCCTAACACCAACCGTATGTTTATTAGTAACAAAGGGGAAAATACTTATGTAATGGCTATTGAAAGTAATCAACAGTATTTAGTTTTTAATTGCACCTTTTTTGACAAACATATAATTAACGACTTTATTGAAGTTCAAGTAAAATGGTAAAAATAAACATAAAAACACTCGGGAACATTCATTTTGCAACATGATAGACCAAAGTATTTTTTTAATTAGACCAGTGTGCTTAATACCAGAGTAAATATCAGATTTGATTTTAAAACTTAAATATGTGCTGTAAACTAATTTCTCTGTTGCTCTCTATTGTAACAATTATTCAAAAATAGAGAGATAGTAAATTGCTTGTCAATCAAATAGTCAACAAAATACAGAAACTTTGGCTACAGGTTCTATGACGTTTTTCTTTGGGAAAATAATATAATTCCACAGAGTACTTTTTAATTTAAAATCACATACTACTAGTAAAGTCCAGCAGAAGCCTGCCTTCGTAATAATCCATTATCTTTTATGTCTTGAAAATCTTTCTTTATTTTTTTCCACATGGTAATTGCCTAGATTATCCCGAAACTTATACAAATTACTATAAAAATATTAAAGTTATTTGCTTATTTTAAATACTATTTCATA